AGATGTATCGGCTGGGGTAGAAGAGATCTGTAGTGTAACAGGAGAGGAAGGAGGTTGGAGGGTAACTATAGAGGAAGACGGGGAGGGAACAGAAGAGGGGACTACATGAGGAGGAAGCTGAACCTCTACCTTCGTGCGAGAGCTGGAAAGAGGGTGAGAACGAGGCTCCGAGGCAGGAGATACATATTGTGCAGGTGATGGACATGAAGAAAGTGTAGGTCTGCAAGGTTTCGGAGATTGAGAAGCAAACGAGATGAAGAAGTAGAAGTAGGAGGTGGTACAGAGGTAGGTCTCAGAGGATACAACTGCAAAAGAATTAGAAACTGGGGCGACCCCGGAAGACACAGACGCATAGGGATTGACAAGCAGGAGGACCGTCGAGGTTGGAGGTCCTCGGGCTACTCGAGCATACGGGACACAAGGGAGTTTACCTTGATAAATTAGACACATGTGCAACTCTTGGGTATCTTTATTGAGGAAACGTTTCGCCACAAGGTGGCTTCATCAGTCCATACAAAGGAGAATCTTGAAGAACAGGAGGAGAATGAGGTAATCAGTCCCTCAACCTTGAGTCGATGTGGTTAGTCCATCCATCTTGAATAGAATACGGCATACGTGCGGAGAAGGAGCTTATAAACCGTAGACAGGAGAGGTGCAGCAGTCATAGGTGGTGTCACATATGTTCAATGTGGAAGTAGATCGTGCCCAAGAATTAGGCAAGTGAAGAATTCCCAAGTATTAAGATCCCAAGAAGTTGCAGTGCCTGACAGGTTTGTAGATGAATGGTTCAGAGAACCGACATGTTGATAAATTAGACACATCTGCAACTCTTGGCACTGCAACTTCTTGGGATCTTAATACTTGGGAATTCTTCACTTGCCAAATTCTCTCGTTCATTACAATAAACCTGGCAACAGTGTGAAAAGGAAGGAGGAGGTTCCCTGCAATTAAGACAAGAGAGGGGAAGACTACACAACATATTGGAATGATCTGCTGCTCTACAGACCAGGCATTCTGCCACAGATCTGCAGTGTTTAGTGGGCTGTCCAAAATGCCAACAATTATGACACTGTTGGGGCATGGGAACAACTTGACGGGCCTCTAGGCAATGGCCTGCAATATAGACAAGACAGAAGGTCACGGCAGTCAAAGATTAAACGAGCAATATTTCTAGGAAAGCGTCCTCCCCCACAAGCAGGCAAGATGTACGTATCTTGAGGATAGGGAGGTCCTAAAGGGCTAATTGTTCTAAAATATCCTTGCCGCAAGACAAAAAATCACTCTATACAATGGTACGCGGCAAGACCACAGTACCACTGCAAGAATTAAGAGTAGCGTGCTTATGAACGGTGACTGGCATGTTATCTAAGGAAGTGATGCGGTAGAGGGCATGAGCTTGCTCTGAATTCTGCACCATTACAACACGTGCACAGCTTCGAAGAGCGTGCAAAGATATACTTTGGTCAACATGCCGTAAAAGAGCTTTACCAATTCTGTGGTCAGAAAGATAATCACTTTGAGATGTCGTTTGTAAAGAAAAGAATTTTGTCCACTGGGTACTCGTTAGTCCGGTATTCAAAGGTAGTGTGTGTTGTGTAGGGCATTTTTAAGTGGTCATTGATGAACTGTTGTCAGTAGGTTGTCATGGACGCTTAGGAGTAGAACCGTGGGCAGTCTGACCAGAGGGAGGTGGGCGATCCGAGAACCATTGCACCACATTCGGGGAAGCCGGATGCATTGTGAAAGTCATGCTAGAAGCAGCGGCATGAACTGAAATGGGTGATGCCGCAGCACCTGAAGCAGGCGACGAAGCATCACCAGCAGAAGGTGCAACGGTATCAGGAGAGTCGAGAGAATGGTCCGACAACGAAGCCGGGTCAAAACAGTGTGGGGGATCAGAATGGGGCCTGGGAGGAGGAAGGGTTACACTGGGTGAAGATTCCACAATAATAAGTGCATCTTCCGTGATATCTCCTTTCTTGTTATTAAAAAAAAAAGAGGGACAGTCGCTAGGAGGCACAGAGGGGTCGAAAGCTCCCCACCCTCATCCAAGAGGGCCTCGAGCCCACTGACAGTGAAGAGGCAGCGTGGAACCCATGCCATACCCTACCCTTCTTGCCAGTAAACCAGCGCTCTGGGATAGCAACCTCACATCTACTGAGCTACCTCAGTGGACAAAAGGAAGGACGGTTGGAAACCCACCACAAAGCATACCTCCTTTGGCTGCCACCCCCCAGAACCAACAGGCAGCTTCTAGAGATACACCCATCACCCGAAGGGCACCCCGCCCACGACCTGGAAACCGGGAAGGGAGTAGGGCATCCTCAGACGATTAAGATTCCACGGCAAATCACACCACCCCTAAGGAACCTCGCGGAGGGGGACGAACCCCAGCACGCCACCTCCCACCTAGAAACTGCAATGCCAGAGGGAAGGATCCCAGAGGCTACAAATGGGATGGAGAAAAAAGGGAGGGTTAGGAGAAGGGAGGGAAGGGAAGGGAAAAAAGGAGAAAGGGAAGGTATAAGGAGGAAAGGATAGGGAAGGGAGGACTGGGGGGGGGGGGGTAATTAGGATTGGTTGGAGTAAGAAGACCAAGAGATCCAATTCCTCAGACCAATAGCTTAGTTACCATAACAAGGAGCCCCCCCCCTTAATTAAACCATACCACGGGTGGGGATAGACTCTCTGATCGCGGGTTCTATCCCCGCCCGTGGTATGTTTTGTTTGCAATCATGTCATTACGATTTCGTGAGTCACTGGAATCTTCTTCAGCCTTAATCGCTGTTTCTAACACAATTAAACAAAACAAAGGCAGCTTCATTATCTCTCAAGTCTTTGCAAGAATCCTGAAAACAGTAAACCCTGCCATCACATAACTGATATTACATAAAGGACATTCCCAGTTTGGGCTAACAGGTCTGCTGCAGTGTTCCTTTCTTATGTTCTTATGCAACAGTGAAGGGACACTGCAACATGCCTTCTCAAATCCATCCACATACATTTGCCCAGCCTATTTTTTTATGCTATCCAAACCATAGCTTTTGCAACCTTTCTTTATAATGTACCAGCTGACTTTTCCACCCCATGTAAAACTGAAGAATTCAGACACTTATGCAACATATGGGAATCTTCAATGAAGAACTGTTTTGCCACACAGTGACTTCATCAGTCCAATACAAAGCAGGAAGGTATGAGTAGTAGTAGTAGTTTGAGGTAATCAGTCCCTCAGCCTGGAATCGATGTGTTCAGTCCATCACTCTTGTAGGAAGTACAGCATAGGGCCAGGGGTGGCTTATATACTGCAGTCAGATGAGTCGAAGCAGGAGGGAGCGGGATCACAGTGGGACCATCCACTAGTGTAAGCAGGTCTGTCCAAAGGTTGGACAAGTGTTGAAGAATTCTTTGTATCAAGATCCCATGATGTTGCAGTGTCTGACAGATGTGATGAATGGTTTTGAAAACCGACAAATGAAGAATTGAGACACTTATGCAACATGGGAGAACTGGCAGCATAAAAAAAAATCAAACCCATGAGAATCCAACAGTAAAGCTAAGCTACTAACTTTTTAAAAAACATAGACAATACCAGTCCAAGAGCGGAGCCCTGAGGAACACTGAATTGCTTACTACTACTTAATGGCTGACCACAAAGACAATGTCAGAAAAATATTACAGTATCTCTATGCCATTCCAGTTCAACTAAATGGTCTTTATGTAAATTGAATGCATGGTAAAAACTCAAAAAAAAAAATAAAATAACAAAAATAGTCTGTTCCATCATTTTAGAGAAAAAAAAAAAAAAAAAAAAAAAAAAAAAAAAAAAAAAAAAAAAAAAAAGATTAGAAACACGATGATAGCTTGACATTTTCCAAGAGGACAAACCAAGCCCACCTCACTGTGGCAGGAATGTTGGGTGTCGCTTCCCAGGGAACTATCCACTTACTTGCCTGGGCCAGAATTTTTAGTTAAAAATCCTGGGCCTGACCTCACACCTTAACTCAAAAGTAATTATTTACTGGTGTTTATATATATATATATATATATATTTATTATTATTTTTTTTATTATCACACTGGCTGATTCCCACCAAGGTAGGGTGGCCTGAAAAAGAAAAACTTTCACCATCATTCACTCTATCACTGTCTTGCCAGAAGGGTGCTTTACACTACAGTTTTTAAACTGCAACATTAACACCCCTCCTTCAGAGTGCAGGCACTGTACTTCCCATCTCCAGGACTCAAGTCCGGCCTGCCGGTTTCCCTGAACCCCTTCATAAATGTTACTTTGCTCACACTCCAACAGCACGTCAAGTATTAAAAACCATTTGTCAAGTATTAGAAGCATATATAAAGATATATAACATATCCCTCCAAACTGACAATATCTCAAACCCCTCATTTAAAGTGCAGGCATTGTGTTTCCCATTTCCAGTACTCAAGTCTGAATGACTTCTAAGGTGTAAAATCCGTAGTGAAGGGAAGGCAGGGTAGGGGTCGGCCTAGGAAAGGTTGGATGGGCTAGAGGAGATTTTGTGTGAGTAGCTTGAACTTCCAGCAAGCATGCGTGAGCATGCTAGATAGGAGCAAATGAAGGTAAATGGTTTTTAGGACTTGATGTGCTGTTGGAGTGTGAGCAAGGTAACATTTGTGATGGGATTCGGGGAAACCGGCAAGCCAGACTTGAGTCCTGGAGATGGGAAGTACAATGCATGCACTCTGAAGGAGGGGTGTAAATGTTGCAGTTTTATAACTGTAGTGTGAGTGCGCCTCTGACAAGATAGCGATAGAGTAAATGATGAAAGTTTTTTTTTTTTCTGAGCCACCCTGCCTTGGTGGGAAACGGCCAATGGGTTAATAAAAAAATAAAAAAAGTAAAATAAAATAAAGCAGGAAATTCAAACAGGCAGGTCACGAGAACATAATTGGAACTGTAAACAATTACTTTCATTGTAAATATTAATTTTTAAAAATGCAACGTAATTTTGAGTAGATTCGTACCTCATCATAGTCTTCATCCTTGCGTTGTTCTTGTCTCTTTACAGCTCTTTCAAAATGTTCCTTAAGTGATTTGTCAACAATTCTTATAAGTTCAGTAATCTGGTCATTGGTAAGGCATCCCATTCCAAGAACTTCTATGCACTTTGCCATAGCATACATATGTTCTGACAACACTTCACTTTCAGGTTCAGTCTCTATCGCTTTAAGCAATTCTGGGCACATATACTGCCACATCTCGGCTAAGTATTGTGGACCCTTAATCTTAGCACATTCCAAGAGGAATGGGAGAGATTCTGCTGCTGCTGTACGAACACCATCATG